TAGACTTATCAGTAGCAAAATATTGCTTCTTTTGTAATCCATATACAGAAGCGATGATTTGCCGCGTTTGACTTGCAGCTATGTCAGTTAGGAATTTGGTGAACTTTTTGGCTATATACTTACGTTTAAATACTTGCACTGCACCTAATTCTATAACTGTAACTAATTCTATTTCTTTATGTTTACAAATTGTGAAACAATTTAATCAACTCTTTAGATTTCATAGAAATGTTCCCAATAATTCATGCTTGTTTGGAAGATGTGTTGTCTTCGTCGATGCTGAGTCAAACGGTAACATTTTTATATTTTATTTTTTTAATTACAATTAAATTTTTAGTTTTTTCAGCCGATCAACGTTGCAGTCTTAATTCGAAGTAGCACATGATTGTTACATGAAATATTTTTTTTAAAATAAGAATACTTACACTTACAATTAACTATTGTATATCATTAGATTTTAATCTTTATTACTTATTCAGATAAGTATCTTAATAAGATCTTAAAAATGTTATCTGTTATCATTCAATTCTATGTAGATCTAAATAAAGCAACACCTTTGGTGAAAGTATATAATTTAATTGAAAAAAAAGTGGCGAACAAAAGTTATTATATTTCATTCTCACAATCGTGATTGGTTTAGCAATGCATGTCACTGCAGTGACTTAGAGCAAACGAACATACAAAAGGTCTTGTCGTATTTACTTATCGTATTTCTCCAATGGAAATAGATGAAAAACTATGATCTTCGAAAAGTAAAAAGATTCTGTATTTTTATACACAAATGAGATTATTATTTTGACATCATGATCACAAAAAGCTATTCTTCTACGTATATTGATAATAAGCGAATAAATGTTAAATAATACAAAGTAGATAACAAATGAATTATTAGTCGGCCCATCTATAAATGAAGGTCAAAAGACTTGTCAAAGTGCTCATATTCTTTCGCCGCAACCGGTCCAATTTTTCCAAAATTGCAACATCTGAAAGCCAATCGAATTGTTTTTTTTTTAAATCAAAATTGAAAAAAATAATGAGATTAAATGAAATACCAATTTCTTGGAAGACAATTTCTTCATTGATGCCAGCTTGTTGAAGGATTTTTCCTTGTGGATCAATTAGCATGGTATGACCATACAAGACATAATCTTTGATCTTTTCATTTCGTGCACCTGAAATGGCAGCAACGAACATTTGATTGTCGAATGCTCGAGCCTTGTGAACAAGTTCCCAGAAATGATGAAGGGAATATCTATCGCCACTCATAATATCGTATGCAGCTGGAACAAATAGGACTTCGACGCCAAGTTTTCGATAGATTTTGATAAATTCATCATAACAGGCATCCCAACAAATGGCCAAACCACATTTGATATCATCGATTTTGAATACTGTCACGTCATTTCCCGGCGTAAAAACACTGACCTCGTCGAGTTTGGTTCCATTTTCAAAATTAATGTCACACAAATTAACCTGGATATCACAAGGGAGATTATTTACTAGAAAAAAAGTATCTTTAAACATTCATACCTTACGATGACGAGCGATCAATTCCCCATTTGGATTGAATACAAGAGCCGTGTTGTAGAGTTTGCCATTGTCCGTTTCGGCAATGCCACCAATAAGATAAATATTGAATTTTTTTGCCAATTCCGACATGTACTGAGCGGTTGGACCGTTGATTGGTTCGCCAGCATTTTTGAAAACACTTTTATCGGATTGATAAAAGTAATTGAATCCTTCTTGGACTGAAATCACTCGTGGATGATACATTGAAACGGTCTCTTCCACCATTTCAGACAAGTGTCTCAATGTCTGTCTCAGATTTGGTTTTGTATCGAACTGAATCAAAGCGACTCCCAGTTCTGTAAATTGTAGGAAAACCGGGCATTTGTAAAAACAACGGTAAGAGCTATTAAAGAAATAGAGAATTAGATGTTTTCTTACTTGTATTTCGAACGGTTGCCATTGTACTGAACTTGATGCTTGTTAACGCCCTGAAAATGTTTGCTTTTATAAGTGCATCTTATCATAGCGAATGGCACCTTCTCGATTGAACAAAATGTAATATTATTTGTTCTTTTCACTGATAACCTATGAGCTGTGACATTTTTCGATTCTATTTTGAATGTATCAAATCACTGAAAAACAATTTCGTTTTCTTGTTGATTGAAATAATAGGTAAATATCAACGACCCCCCTCGGACAACCAATAATTGATATGAAGCCAAAGCACATTAACAGTGTACATCTACAAATCGAATCGTAAGCAAACGGTTTTTCATGCAGGCATACAGGGTAATATCGCAACACTTTATCGCCACTTGTATCGCATATGAATCGTATGGACGCATTAGATGATTCACTACGACGCAACTGGTCACTGTATTACACTGAGAGTTAGTTGTGTATTCCTCCAAATACATTACGTATGCCCATGTTTTTTAATTTCACATTATTTGAAAAGGAGGGGGCAGTGACATTTACCTATTCAATCAATCAAATGAAGTGATAAGCACGATGACGTACTGCGTTATTGATACGTCGAAGTGCTTCGTTTTGCAATTGCTCGTCACAGTCATACAGATACATAACCGAAGTAAAACGGAAAACCTTCGCAATTGTGCGTGGTAAAGCATTTTTGCTGTAATGATCATCGTGAAATATATATATATATATATATATTTAACTATGCGATTATTTTGAACGGTTCCGATCTACGTCTCATTATATGATAGCTAACTATACAATTTGCATTTATTAATCATTTTTGCATTTATTGTCAATTCCAGACGATTCAGATTATTTTGTATCAGACATATGTCTCTCTTGTAAAGATAACTGGAACGCATTTTATATTTTCAATTAAAATGTAATTGATTTCGAAATTGCATTTATTGTACTAAATAATTGAAATTAATTCTCGTATATATTAGGTAGTTTCTTTTTTTAATTAGTAAAATTACTACACCATATTTTGAAATGGTGAAAAATATCAGAATTTTTTTTATTTATTTTTCTTTGTCGAAAATTCTCATTTAAAATGGTAGAATAATTCGATCAGAGTTCAAAACTTGAAATTAATCGTTTCTGCTTTGTTTTCGACAGTACTGTACGTTACCATAAATTGTATCATGATTTCGTTGAATTGTTCAAAATATTTTAATACTCCACTTCCAATTAAAAAATACGAAAAAATGAAAAAAATATTCTTTTATATTAAAATTTAAGTTGGATTTTAGTATGTTTTATCCATTGGTTTTTCAATGGTATGCTCAATCAAATATTGATTAAAAATCTTTAAATTTCGCTCAAAAAAAATTAAACTGAAAAATGTGACAATTTTAATACATAAACAAAAAAGTAAAACGAAAAATATCCATTTAAATAGTTTTACTCGAATATCTAAATAACTCGATCTCACTATAAAAATAGTTGTGTTGTCTCAGGATTGTCTCTATGCCATTTGACGTAATTATTCTGATTATTGAGTAGTAAATAATTTTATGGAATTAAACACAAAAGTACACAAAAAAATCAATTTAAAATCTGAACAGAATTGCACTTTTCATGCGCTGCTTGGCATCCGAAGTAATATTTTTATACATTTAAAATGACGTAAAATGGCGTGTGCTTAGTTACATCCTTATCAAGTTGAAAAAAATAAATTGATTAATTGATTTTGCCTTAGCGTTTCAAAGTAATATGCGAATAATTGCAATTAATGTTCTCATTGATTGTTGCTAATGTCCTACAAGTGTTATCAGTTGAAGAAAAAAAGAAAATGAAACAATTGCTTGTCTATCCGTATTTAATGAAAAAGATTATTATTTTTTCAATTATAGTTTATTGTTCCAGAAATTTTCGCCTTATTTTTCAAATTACCGTTTTTTCAATCCCAGTTTCATATATGATGTAAATGTATACATTTAGTTTACAGTAAATTGAAAGTATTTATCTATTTTATGAGTTTATGGCTCAATGGCAACCGCTCTACTCAATCTGAACCTCATATAAATGTTCTTTCAACCGAAAATAAATAAGTAATTATCCCGATCGAAAGCCTTCAAAAATTGAATCAAAATACTGCATTAATTCCGCATTACTGAAAAGCAAATAAAAGGCCAAATCCTTATTTGTTGTCATCATTGTATTTAGAATTTTTTCTCACAACATCGAAAATCGTATTTTTTGTTACAATGAATCAGTTTTTTTATATTTGCACTGTGAATGAAACTTAAGACACAGTGTCGAAGTATTTTTTGTAGCATCAATTCGCTGTGCGTTGTTTTTTTTTAATTTCAAATTCTAAACGTCTCGAACAAGCTAGATGCTGTGTGTTTTGTGAAGCGATTCAACTGGTGGTTGTTATTGTACACACGCATACTAACAAAAATTTTATGGCGGCTGCTTTCGTGGAATCGGTTAGTTTGTTATTATTACAAAACACAAACAAAGCCTGAGAGTGAATAGTTTTGTCGCCGACCACATAAAACTGTAAGTGAGAGTAAAAAACGTCGATACCATTAAGAACTGTGTTTTTTGGCATCATTCAAAATCAATAGCGTATGCGCAACGACGTACATTTAAGAGCGTAGTAAAAGTTTCATTACAAAAAAAAATTATCTAATTTTGGCGTATTCATTTGACCAGTGATTTGATGTCGATTTTTTTTGGTGCTTGTGGAAGTAACGAACGTGCAAAATCAGAATTTTGACCTTTCAATGTGAGTTCAGATGTATTAGCATTTTATTTGATTTAGAAAAAGTCAAAGCTGTTTTTTTTTTCGCCAACATTTAATCCATTGACAATATTCTTGTATATTTTGACTTTGTTACCGTCGATCTACTAAGAGTGAAATCTAATTTTAGTTGTTTATCCGAATCAATCAAATGGACGCGTTGAATAATTTCGAACCTAGAAAATCCCAACAAAACCACGTGAATCTTCAATTGGAAATCCCAAATGCGTTTCCAATGGTGCAATTAAAAATGGAAAAAGAGCCGAATGAATCGCAAGACGTCAACGCTATGGAATCATCATCGTCAGTAATGAACATCGAAGAAAATGTGTCGTCATCAGCGTTGGCCGTAGATTCTTTCGCAGAAGAGTCTTTGCTTCAATCAATTCAATCGCTCACAACGATTATTTATGAAAAAGTGCGCAACTATGAACAAACAATCGCAGCCACTAAGCAAACCAATGCAAAATTACGCAAGGTTCTCAACCAGAAATTATCGGAAATGCAGAAACGTTGCGATAAAGTCGATATAGCCACTAGTGACATGAAGAAGATGGTCGAAGCTAAAATTGATGTGATAGACAAGCACAAGAAGAACTGCGAAGAATATATGGCCGAAATGAAGGAGAAGTGTGATGCGAAGATCATAGAAATGGAGCAACATCACAAAGATGAAATGGATAATGTCGTTGCGGAAACAAAGAAGAAAACGTGGTGTAATCATTGCTGGAATGAAGTCACTTTCAAATGTACTATTCTTCCACCCGCCTGTAGTGTCGCTTGTTTGGAAGAATTGGTGTAAGTAGTCAATTGTTGATTGAATGTCTATTGTATGCTTCGTTCCAATTAAACATTATTTTTATCTCTTTTACATTACAGGAAACTTGAACCGAATTTTTGGAAGGTAAAAACATTTCTCTGATACACGAATGGAAGCATGTTTGGCTTTCAAATGGGAATTTTACATCAACTTTTCTTTGTATGACAGGATGATGATCTAATGACAGGCGATTCAACGGACGAAAATAGCTACCATCGGAACGGGTTGGACTTCTCCAAGACTCATGCCACTGAAGTCAAAGAAGAACACCGCGACATCGCATCGGTATAATTAAAGTATTTTTCGACGATAAATTGGAGTATATTCATTACATTCATCATCTTAAGTCATTTTATGGAACATTTTTTTCTTGTAGACAAACGTTGATACGGCAAGTTCTGCTGCCCAATTGATTCGAGATTTGGAAGATTAAAAAAAAAGAAATGTTTTCGAACAAAATTACCAAGAAACAAATTAAAATTCAACTTTTTTCTCTTAAGTATCTGAATCAACAAAGAAAAAACGTCCTGTAAATGAAGAAAAAGAATGTACATTTTCAACAAAAAAGAATGTACATTTTCATCTCAGAGATTGAGATTGAAATAAAATAAAATTAAAATCGCCGTTAAAAAATAAAACGAAAAAAAAAATCAATGACACGTCTGGTCGTGAAATATGTTCAAATAAAGTTAAGCATAATTTTGAAAAAAAAAAAGTTAGTAAGTATCCGAAATTAAATGTGAAAACCGATTTTATTTGCAAAGAATAATAAAAATAAAAAAAGAATATAAAATGTTTCGATTAAATGTTAGTTCTTGTCAATTTTTTGTCGATGTTCGTCATGTTAAAAGTAACCGCTATAGATGCCACTATATCTCTCATAAATGTCTCTTCGTCGCAATTTGAATGTGGGAAACTCTTTGTATAGTTTCTCTAACACCGCAACATCTATAAATTTGAAGTGAAATACAAATTAATTGAATGATTTAAATTGAAGAATGAATTTTATGAAATGCCAAATGATACATACCAATTTCGTCGAAAATGATCTCCTCCTTGACGCCAGCCTGTTTTAGAATCTTTCCTTGTGGGTCAATGAGCATGGTATGACCATACAAGATATAATCTTTGATTTTTTCATTTTGTGCTCCTGAAATGGCAGCAACGAACATTTGATTGTCGAATGCCCGAGCCTTATGGACAATCTCCCAATAATTATGGAGAGAATATCTATCGCCACTCATAATATCGTATGCAGCTGGAACAAATAGGACTTCGACGCCAAGTTTTCGGTAGATTTTAATGAACTCATCGTAACAGGCATCCCAACAGATGGCCAAACCACATTTGATGTCATCGATTTTAAATATGGTGACATCGCTGCCGGGTGTAAAGACGTTGATTTCATCGAGTTTGGTTCCGTTTTCGAAGTTGATGTCGCACAAGTTAACCTGAATAGTGAAAGAAATTGGAAAAAAGGGTCGAAAATATATTTAAAAAATTTTGTTTATTGAAATAAGTTCACAAAAAAATGAACAAAAGGATCTTTGTAAAGTCTTACCTTACGATGACGTGCGATCATTTCACCACTTGGATTGAATACGAGAGCCGTGTTGTAGAGTTTGCCATTGTCCGTTTCGGCAATGCCTCCAATAAGGTAAATATTGAATTTCTTTGCCAATCCGGACATGTGCTGGGCAGTTGGACCGTTGATTGGTTCGCCAGCTTTCTCAAAGGTACTTTTATCAGATTGATAGTAGTAATTGAAGCCTTCTTGGACAGACACCACTCGTGGATGATACTTTGAAACGGCTTGTTCGACCATTTCGGACAAATGTTTCAAAGTCTCGCCGAGATTCGGTTTGGTGTCGAATTGAATCAAAGCGATTCCAAGTTCTGCGAAAAGAAATTGAAAA